GTTGTTGTACGTATATTACCTATCTCTCTCTCGAATACTATATATATATATATATATATATATATATATATATATATATATATATATATATATATTTGTATATATTATATTAGTATATATATATGTATTATATATATATATATATATATGTGTGTGTGTGTGTGTATATGTGTGTGTATTTATGTATATATGTATGTATGTATTCTGTAGATACGTTGTGTATGTGAATGTGAAGTTGACCTGCATTTTTGGGAGGGGGTATTTTAAGAAAATCGATGCCGAACAATCTGCTTGGCATCGGGGCGTATGGTGCAATGATCGCCCTATCACTCGAACTCAACAATGCACCACAAACTCAAATTTTAACTTGAGGCCTCCGTACACTATGTAAACCCTAAACGCTAAACCTTATTTCTATGGCCGCAGGCATGATGCCTATGCCCACAGTACTACCGACCACGCAGCAGAAGCAGCAACAGTTGGGCGACAGTCTGCGTTCCGAATACAAAAAAGTGGTAGGTGAAATCCAGGTGTTGGAAGCCAAAAAAGCCAAACTCGAGATTGCCAAACGGGCCAACGCCGTGGCAGCCGCCGCGGCGGCTGCGAGTAGCGCTGGTGCGGGCGCCGGCAGTACCACTTTGGGCGGTGTCAAAACGGGACTTGACGAGGCCACGGACCAGGGCCTGGCCAATTCACAACACCAGAAAGCCGTCGAGAAACTGGCGCTGCTGGGGCAGCAGAAGTTCAGTATCGAGACGGTGTACCACCGACTGGGCGAACAGATCAAGAAGCAGGCGGCGCAGCAACTGGCACAGCGGCAGCAGCTGCAGAAGCAGCAGCAGCAGCAGCAGCAGCAGCAGAAGAAACAGCAGCAGATGCAGGGCCCTGCTAGCAAACCTAAAGGCGATGGGACCGGTCCTGGGACTGGGACCGGGACGACTGCGGGTGTGAGTGTGGGTGCTGGTTCGAGTACTGTGGGTAGCATGGGTACTGCGAGTGGGAATGCGAATGCGAATGCGAATGCGAATGCGAATGCGAATGCGAATAGCGTTGGGGGTATGGGTGGCAAGCCTGGGCAGGTGAATGTTGGGCCCAATACCAATACGGGTATGTATACGACCACAGGTACGACTACGAATGCGAGTGCGGGTACTTCACCGGTCGTGGGCGCCACTATGATGACCACACAGCAGTACCAGACATACCAACAACAACAACAACACCAACACCAACACCAGCAGGTGAAGTGTCCCCAGCCGTCTACTGGAACTAACACCAAGCCCCAGCAGACCAAAGCAAATCCTACTTATAGCACAGGAGGTCATCCGCCGATGCAGACGGCCGGTGTGGCGCAGGGGTACTCACCCACCCCACCGCAACCGCAACCGCAGAAACCGCAGGCTTATGCGGTTGCAGGTTCCGTGGTAGGCGCGCAGAACATACCGCGGGCGAATACCACCAGCATGCCACACACTGGCAAGGGCGCGCACATTACGGGAACTAGTACGTATACGGGAACCAGTACGTATACTCAGGGTGCGGGCACGTATACTCAGAGTGCGTATGATATGACTCAGCCTGCTGGGGGAACTGCACAGGCTGGCGGTAAAAAGGGCAAGGTCACGGGTGCCACAGGCCCTGCAGGTATGGTTATGCGTATGACCGATCCATTTTCTGTTCAGATACGTTTTCAATTATGCGTATGGCCGGCATGTTCTCTGATTGTGAGTGTGACAGGTACGTTTTTCCAGTTATGTTTGAGATAGTTACGGTCTTAGACGCAATACGGGTATAGTTTTGAGTGGCAAAGAGGTGAATACATAGAGCACGCGCAACCGTGCGTGTGTCACTGGTGTCGGTCTGCCAATCAGCCACAGTTGTCATGAGTGATGCATCAAATTGTATGGATTCAACGGGAGTTGGGTGTAGGGTTTTAGGGTTTGGTTCGTATATTCGGCTTCGTGCGATAACGAACTGTAAGCGTGCTCAGTTTTTCAGATTGTCATTGGGTGTCCATTCCTGCTATTATTCGCAATGTCAGCCTCTGGGTCACTGCTCCTATTCCACTCCCCTTACTATGTTCTCTTCAGCTCTTTCTTTCCCTACCGATCCCACACCAGCATTTAGTAAGTAAGCCACCATTCGACTCCCTTCTCCCATTTTAGTATATTCTATGAGATGTCTGTACCTTTTGTCTAGTTCGTTCACCATGCCCACGCACGCATGTGTACGTAAGCAAAGGCACCGCACACCAGGCCTCAATGCTACCCACACCAACCCCGCGAAACCCTATCACCAACACTACTACTATAACTACTACAGCTACGGCTACAGCCACAGCTACAGCCACAGCCACAACGGCAAAGACCAAAGGAAAGGCGGGGACAGCCAAAGGCGGTAAGAAGACCAAGCAGACTGCTGCTGCTGCGATGGCTGCGAATGCTGCGGGTATGGGAGTTAGGATTTGACGAGTAATGGGATGGGATGGGGTGGCTCAGATACTATAGTACAACCCGTGCAGACTGTAGTGGGATAAACGGTAGTTGTTGTGTGATGGTGTGTGTTAGTAGGCAGCTCGGCCAATATAGCATTGACCGAGTAGATCGTAGTAGGATGAACACATTGTTGTGTATTGGTATATACTATCATGCTGAGTAGTTGATATTTCGTTTCGAACTTGTCGCACATGCACCTACCGACCGAGAAATTCCGTAGCTCTTGATCTTTCGTGTTCCTATTTTAGAAAATTCATTACCACTGGATCTGTCGCATTCGTATGTTTTGGAAAACCAATACCAATGCATTTCTCGAATCCCGGATTCTACCTAGGCACAAATGGGAATGGAATGGGGGGCCACGGTGTAAATAGCGCAACTACGGCGGCTGGGGGGGTTAAGGCGAAGAAGGCTCGGAAGAACACGCTCTCGAGTAGCTCAACAGCCACGGCACCTGCGGCGACGGGTGTCGCTCAGACCAATGCTGGAGACACAGTAAGTGATTCAGTTGTGTATATAGTAATATGGTTTGATTGTTGCTGAATTGCGGTGTGGGTGTTTGACCTAACACATATTTCAGTTGGAGATATGATTGTAAGTGGTGGATATTTGAGTCTGTTTTGGCAATAGTAATACATGTTTTTCTGAAAAACGACGACAGTTTTGGCTCCCACAGCGGCTGGGATCGCTCAGGTCGTATCTGCGCATAGAGCCGATTAGTGTATTTTCCTATGTTGCTTCTAGTTCTATCACTTTTCAACATATTAACACATCCACCAACTGGCTGAGTTAGGGCATACATGCAAATGCTCTTGTGTGTCGGCCTAGCAGCGTCCATTGGGTTGTGTAAATATTCCATCTGCGTACCTACTTCCTACTTTAATACCATCGGTTACTATATCTTATTGTGTTGCTTTTGGTACTAGCACTTATTAAGATATTAACACCTCTACCAACAGGTCGCATCCAAGTCAAGTGCTCCGAAAGTCAGCCCAGCTGTTGCAGGTAAGCAATGGATCAACTAGCCTAGAGTTCTAGGATTCGAGGTTGAGACTGTATATATGTGGCTATTTCATCACCGTTATGTACAACACAGTCAGAAATTATTCAAATAGTGCGATGCCGACGTTTTATCACTAAGGTGTACAAAGCTATACGCCTGTATGTACCCCATCACAATACATACTGTAGAAACAGCCCAGATAGTCGCAATCGATGCAGACGGCTTAGCATACTATTTAGGCTCTGTGCCTGCATGTACCACATCATCACCTGCAATCTACAACACGGCTCAGAGATCAGTAGAGCGAAGAAGGCGCGTGTTGGATAATTATAGCTCGGTATCATGCACTTATTTTGTACATACATTGGAAGGGATGCTCATATACCCACTGGTATAACGTTCACAATAGTTCATTACATCGACATAAATGATTAAGTACATTCTGTACTGCCACCTACTGTAGCTGCCAATGCACCCACGGCGAAGGCCGCCAGTGCGGCTCTGACGAAGCAACAGCAGAAATTGCAACGCGAAAAGGACCGGCTACTGCAGCAACAACGGAGGGCCCAGACAGAGCTCGATAACAAGCGTCAGGCTATGCTCGCCATTGCACAGGTATCAGTTGAG